GAAGTGTGTTGATCAGTTTACATGTGTTTATGAAATTCTTGTGGTTTCTTTTGCTATTGATGTCCAATTTCATTGCAGTATGGTCTGATAATATACAGGGGATAACTTCAATTCCTTTGCACTTACTTAAATGTGTTGTATGAGCAAGTATGTGGTCTATTTTGGAGAATGACCCAAGTGCAGTTATTCTGGTTTTGTGAGGTGGAACACTCTGCACACATCTGTTAAGTTCATTTGTTCCAGAGTTTAATTGAGTTCTAGTATTTCGTTGTTTCTTTTTTTTTGTCTAGTTGATCTATCTATTTGTGACAGTGAGGTCCCCTGCTACTATTGTATTAGTGCTTATTTAATTTTTCATGTCTGTTAGTATTCATTTTATATAGTTGGGACCACTAGTGTTTGGTGCATATATATTTATGATTGTCATTTCTTCCTGTTGGATTGTTCCCTTTATAAGGATGTAGGGTCATTCTTCGTCTCTCTTAATCCATGTTGGTTTGAAATCCACTTGATCTGCAAAGGGGATACCTACTTCTGCTTTTTTGGGGGTTCCTGTCACATGGAGTATTGTTTTCCACCCTTTAACTTTCAGTCTATGAGTTTCTTTTTGAAATAAGTGTGTTTCTTGTATGCAGCATATTGTTGGATCTTGCTTCTTGGCCCATTCTGCCAGTCTATTTCTTTTTATTGGTGAATTGAGACCATTAACATTGATGATTATAAACAAAAAACCCCAAAAATTGATGATTATAACTAATACAAATTGACTTATCATTGTCATGACTTTTTCTTTTTGGTGGATTTGCCCCTTTAGCTTTTAATTTCTTGCTGTGCCAGACAGATTCATTCTGCTGGGGTTCCTGGGGTTGTGATCCTCATTTTCTTTTCCTAGGATATTGCCCAAAATTTTTTGGAGTGCTCATTTGGTATTCATGAAGTTCCTAAGGTGCTCTTTGTCATGAAAGTATTTTATTTTTCCATCAATTTTGAAAGACAGTTTTGCAGGGTACATCAATCTGGGTTGGAAGCTGTTTTCTTTAGGGCTTAAAATATATCACTCCATGCTCTTCTTGCCTTGAGGGTTTGCAATGAGAGAGATGCTGTGATTCTGATGGGCTTTCCTTTGTATGTGATTTATTTCTTTTTTCTAACTGCTTGTAGGATTTTGTTCTTCTGTTGGGTTTCTGGAATCCTATTATATGCCTATGTGTAGATATTTTGATCAAGGCTAGTTGGAGTCCTATATGCATCCCTTATCTGTATGTCAAGTTCTTTTTCCCTGCTTGGGAAGTTTTCTGCCATCACTTCTGTGAACAGTTTTTTTTATGTCATCTGCACTCTCTCCTGTTTCTTCATTGACTCTAATCATTCTTATGTGATTCTTCTTTGCATCATCTAATAGCTGCTGGATTGATTTCTCATCTTCCCTTACTATTTTAAAGAAATTTTTCTTTTCCTGGTCACTAATTGCAATCTTATCTTCTATGTCTGAAATTCTGTTCTCATATTGGTTCATTCTGCTGTGTAAACTTTCAGTGGAGTTTTTAATCTCCTGGAAATCTGTCTGCATCTGTTTTATGGATTCCATTTGTTTCCTATGTTGGGATT